TGCTTAGCCTCACATACCTTCAGATCGGATCGCATAGTTTTGCCGAGTTCCTCGGGGAAGAGAAACTCCAGGAGATGATTAATTTCGTTTTACGATACTTTTCGGAGATCACCCTTCCTGTCAAGCGGGGAACCTTCGTCGAGTAAGAGCTGAATACCTCCAATGCCGCCGCCGACGACCTCTCATCTAGGTACCGCATGGGGATGCTCAATTTCTCACCTGTCGGACGACAGTGTTCTCAAGAAGAGCGGATCCAATTCAACGAGTAATTCAATTCTATTCCGGCTCTCTCGTTGACCGTCATCACGCCAGATACGATAAACAACACGGAATTCGTCAGAAGTTTGTCGAAGAGATGGACAAACAGTTTAGCAAGTGAGCCTCGGGGTGGTGACTGTCATAGAAACTGGTTCCCAACAGGTACGGTGTTCAGTTTGCTATAGGCGGGCAGATTTCTGTCGATTGTTTCCCCAAGGGATGGGATAAGACCTTCGTTTTGCGGTACCTCCCTGAGGATGCCGAAGTACTATTGGAAGCAGGTGAATCACCATCGTATCTTTGGGCATAGATTCACTTTTTTGGAGACAAGACTACACTTGGAGGCAACGACTACGAGATTTATGAGCATCCACGTAAGACAAAGTCGCTGCGCCACAAAATTGTAAGTGGCGTTCATCATCTCGATATTTTGAAGGTACAATAGGCCACTCTGTGAAGGACCCTAAGGATGCCATGCGGCAGATTAAGGAGATTTTCGGTATATAATCGAACCCCGTAATGGGTCTTGTGCGAAACCCCCTTATGTCCTCGCTATGTGCCTCGTGTTAGTATCAAATCAACAGGTATACCAATGGTGTTCATCTCGCGATAAGAGAGTACACAATGAACAGGAAGTAACAGTAACGTTATGAGCTTGTGACCATACAACGAAGCTCACTCTACTCCTCATTACGCTTCCTCTTGGGACTCCAATTTGAGAACGGTCGACAGCAGCACGATTCATCACTACACTCTTGGGTGGTCTTCAGGCATCGTATGCCGACCTCCTTGAAGACCTTACGGGGGCCTTCAGGAAAGTCTACCATACTGAACCCTAGTTCGCCAACCTCCCCAAGATAGACACTAGGACCCGACACGCCTACGAAAAGAACAGCATTGCATGCGGCTAGTGACTCGAGAGCTTTACCATCATCTCGATCGTAACCGACCAAGAAGTCGAAACGGTTGGCCGGGCTGCCGTAGACGCTCTCTGTGTCCATCCATTTGTAAAACTGGTCAATAATGTGAAAGCAAATTCGCTCCACCTCCTGCATTCTCGGTACGTCGCCGCGGACCACTTCTTCGCGGCTTCGACAGTCTTAGTCTCGTGTTCGAAGTCGATAAAGAGACC